GATGGGTGCATAGAGGGCTGGGTGGATGAATGCGCAGGTGGATGGATGGATGGATGGATGGATGGATGGATGGATGGATGGATGGATGGACGGACGACACGGTGCATGGACAGACAGCAAAAGGAGGATTGATTGCTGCTATGAGGAATGGATGAGTGGATAGATGGATGGAGAACTGGATGGATGGATAGATGGAGGTGTGGATGAATGGATGAAGGCATGGACAGATGGAGGGGTGGAAAGGCAGATGGAGGCATGGATGGGTGAATGGATTGATGGTTGGGTGGGTGGACAAGTGGATGGATGGATGGGTGGATCGAGGCACGGATGGATAGATGGGTACATGATGGGTGGGTGGACGGATAGGTGGGTGGGTAGATTGAAGCACAGATGAGGGATGGAGGAGTGGATAGGTAACTAGATGGATGGGTGGGTGGGTGAATAGCTGGGTGGGTGGATTGAGGCATGGATGGATGGATGGATGGATGGAGAAATGGGTGGATGGATAGGCTGATGAAAGAAGGGAAGGTCTATATGGATAGATGGATGGATGGATAAGCCGATGAACAGAGGGAAGAGACAGGTGGGTGATGGCAGGTGCCTGAGCATGAGTGTCTGCATCAGGGACAACTGGACAGACAGACACGCAGCTGGCCACTGCCAGGCCATGCGCAGGAGGGCGGCTGCTGGGTACAGCCCTGGACACCCACCCACAGCCCATGCCACCCACCACAGCCCCGGACACCCACCACAGCCCGTGTCACCACTGGCAGTCCGGTCACCGCACCACACCCCCCATCACCGCATCACAGGCTCCTGTCACCCGGAGCACCACAGCCCTCGTCACCCACCACAGCCCGTCGTCACCCATCAAACAACCCCCGTCACGCTTCATCAGCAACCCCGTCACCGCCGATCACCACAGCCCCCGCACACACCACAAGCGCCGGTCACCGGGCACCACAGCCCGATGTCAAGCCCCCCCCCGGCCCCGCCGCGCCGCCGGGTTACTCGCAGCCCTCCATCTGCCCCGGTACCTTCCCGGCCGCCCGAGGGGCGCCAGCGTGCGGCGCTGCGCGCGGGCGGTGGGCGGTGGCGCTGGCGAGCCCCAGCGAGGCCCCGGAACAAGTGACAGAGGCGCATGATTGGCCGAGACGCCCCAGGGAGGGAGCCGTATTGAGTCGCTCGTGCCAAAGTCCGGACCTGCCCTCCGGGGTCGGAAGCCCGCCGGAGCGCTGCGACTAGAGGGGTAGGCACACATCAGAGAGGCGTGCGCCACGGCAACAGTAGACGTGGAAGCCAATCAGGTCGATGGCACCGCGCCGCGCAGGCCCGCGCCCTCCTTCCGGAGACCTCGCGAAAAAGCGTCGGGAGAGCGGTCCAAATTGGGGCGGGTGGGCGGGATCCTACGGGCCGTACGCAGCCAAATTCGGGAGCGGAGGGCTGCGCACCCGGTTGACGGTCCCAGGGGTGGTCCCAGTTCGATGCCCAGTGCTATCATTCCGGTTTATCGATCCCGTTGTATTGATACCCCAGGGTTCTGAAAGACCCCTAGTTCCCACGCTCCCATCTACAGCCGAATGGAGCGGCCGAGGTGGTAGCTTTCGCGCCGAGAAAGGAGCTGGTCGGACGATCGTGCCGCAAACGTCAGTCCGGGACGGATTCACACTCATCGGGGTCAGGCGGGCCGCGGGGCGGGACCGGGCAGGGGGGTTTGGGGACGCGGGGCTGGGCGTCGGGAGGGGGGACAGAGACAGAGGAAACTAAAAACAGTATCAGAGGGGCTCATGGGCGGGGCTGGGGCTGGAGAGGAGCTTGGGGACTTGGGGACAGGGCTGGGGACTTGGAGACACAGCCTGGGGAGTCAGGGAGTGGGGGCTTGGGGGGACAGAGCCTGGGGAGACTGGGGAACAGGGGTGCTTGGGGGACAAGGACGGGAGGGCAGGGGCTGGGGCTGTTTGGGGAACAGCCTGGGGAGATGTGGAAGAGTTTTGGGGGGGCTTGTGGGTCATGGTTTGGAGGTCAGGGTATAGAAGGGTCTGGGGGACAGGGGGGACTTGGGGCCAGGGAAGGCCAAGGGCAAGGGCTGGGCGGTTTGGGACAGAGCCTGGGGACACTGAGGGCAGGATCCGGGTGGGTCTTGGGGTCAGGGATGGAGGGATTAGGTGTGGGAGAATGGGTTTAGGGGATTGGGATTGAGGGGTAGGATCTGGGGAGATTGGCGGAGACTGGCTGAGGGGATTGGGGATGGTCTAGGGTGTTTGGGAACAAGGGGAGAGGATGGGAGGCACAGGGAAGGATCTGGATGGATTGGGGGTGGTGGTTTGTTTTTCAGGGAGATCTGGGTCCTTTCAATCCTGGTTTGCCAGTAGAAGTGCCTGTCTGGTTGGCCATTAATCTGAAGCAGAGGCAGAAGTGTCGGCTGATTCCTCCAGAATGGATGGATGTTGGTGAGGATGGCGGCTTTGGCTTCAGCCCTTGCCTTCAGTGTGTGCAGTGGAAACATGAAATTAGAAAAACATCTATTTTTCACCTTTAGTGGGGGGCTTAATTAAAAAAACACAAAGTAACTGAGAGAGAAAGATCTGTCACTTGTTCACTCAAAGAAACTTTGGTTGACACTCTGTGAGGAGGGAGACCTTGGAGGCTGTGATGTCCTTGTCAGCGTCCTTGTGTGCTTCCTCACAGGAGCCTTTTCCTGTCCTCATGTCATTTGAAGCTTGGATATAGAGTTGATCCTACAGATATAACACATGTGTTTCCAGGGATGGGTAAAAATGCACCTGGAGCATTGAAGGCCTGGTGATGCCTGACTATCCCTGCTTGTATTTTAGGAAAACTGGAGGAAATCCGGGACCAGGAACGGAAAGAGGACACATTCACTCCGATGCCCAGTCCCTATTACATGGAACTCACCAAGCTGCTGTTGAACTAGTGAGTAGGAGCTGAGCTGTGGCATTTTCCATCCAAGTACGTGCTCGCACGGACAATCTTTCAAGCCTTGGTTGGCAGCAGCCCCGGAGGGCGGCGGGAAGAGCGGGAGTTAACGGAGTTTTATCTCACAGCCTGCCAAGATTTCACAGCAGCAGTTTCCTCATGGTAACTTTGCATTTCAGTAACTTGGGGATTGCTTGTTCTGTGGCCTCGTAATTGGGGCTGTGCCGCTTTATTGAGCAGCAGCTCAGCGTGGAGGCCTGGAGGATCCGCAACACGTTCCACGGCTGCAATCTGTTCAGCAGCCTAAACCCTCCAGGCTTCTTCCTTGGCTCTCCTTCAGGAGGAAAGCTCCTCTTTCCTCAGCCTGAGAAGCAGGAGACCGGGGATATTCCGAGCCTGAGCTCCTGCCTGCTGAGGCATTTCACTTGTAAAATGTGCTGGCTGGTATTTTGCTCAGTGCGGGCTCTGGTGACTTTAAGCCCTCGATTAAGCAGGGTGGTCATTCCAGCTCTGGCTTTTCCTCTGGAGATGAGGCTCTTGGCTCGCAGCTCCCTCCCTCACGCTACAACAACCCTGACAGCTCTGTCCGCGCGAATTGATCGGATCTCTCAAGGTCCTTATGGCAGCGCTGAATGGCCTTAATGGGACGATGTGGCACGTCTCACACAGCCCTTTCAGCTTAATTCTCCCTGATGGAGCCCCGGGAGCCCCGAGCCGGGGCTTTAATCGCGGCCAAGCCCTTCGATTCCCCAGCTGCCCGTGACTTTGGCCAGGTTATTGGCCCTCAGTGCACCTCACACCAGCTGGGCAATTACAGAGCAGAAGGATTCTAGCGAGAACCAGATGCTGCATAAGAGCTGAGCATTCCTGGGTAAATAAACCATCCCAGAAATCCCAGCAGCACAAGTACCAGACTGGGTTTTAATGTGGAGTTGCAGGGTTTTTTTCTCCGTAGCAAACTGCTTGCCTCAGAGGGGTGAGGCGCTGCCAACATGACTTAACGCCGGTGACACAACGTACACGTCCCTTGCAGCCTGCTCTGATCCTCTCTTTTCTTTCCCTTTTCTAGTGCCTCAGACAACATTCCCAAAGCCGATGAGATCCGGACGCTGGTGAAGGATACGTGGGATACCAGGATGGCCAAGCTGCGGCTGTCCGCGGACAGCTTCGTGCGGCAGCAGGAGGCTCACGCCAAGGTGTGCTGGGGATGTGCTGGGATGGCCCTGACAGGGCCAGGCTGGAAGGGCTCCAGCTGCTGTGTGGGATGGTGATGGATGGGGAATGAGCTGCTGGGAAAAGGCTGGCTGGGGCATGTTTTTCCTGGGTTGTTGGTACGTCAGTTGTGGGAGATAAAGCCCTGTGTTGAACCCTTGCTTTTCGGGCTTGTGGCAGCTCCCTGTGCCTTATGGAAACCAGAGAATCATGGAATGGATTGCATGTGAAGGGATATTAAAGATGTAGTTCCACCCCCTGCCATGGGCAGGGACACTTTCCACTAGACCAGGTTGTTCCAAGCCCTATCCAGCCTGGCCTTGAACACTTCTAGGGATGGGGAATGCTCTTGAAATAGTACTCTTGGTGCTCAGGTGCTTCTCCTAACTGGGGTGGCAGCGGGGTCAGTCCCTTGGAATGTCATCCAAGGGGAAATGTGGGCTGTGAGCTGCTTCCCAAGTGCCTTGTCCTCTGCTGCTTCCCAAGATTCTGTTATTTCCCCTTTTAGCTGGATAACTTAACCTTGATGGAGATCAACACCACCGGGACTTTCCTTACTCAAGCCTTGGATCACATGTACAAGCTCCGGACTAACCTCCAGCCTGGCGAGAGTGCCCACTCCCAGGATTTCTGAGCGGGAACTGGAAGGGAGCAGGGCTCTGCTCCTCACCCCTGGGCCTTCATCTGGCCAGTCCCCACCTCCCTGCACAGACCTCCCGACGCCTCCCGACCCTCATCCTCCCTCGGCAGCAGCTGCACGGCCTCACAGCCGGGTGGGAATTGCTCCGATGGCACCGGAGCGTCCCTGGGAGCCGCTCTGGGGCTCGGTGCGGGAGGTGCCTTGCTGGGCTCTAATGAGGCTGGGCGGGATCTCTCCTGTGGTTGTACTTCAGCGAGGGAACTTCTGAGGGCAGCACAGGCCACACACTGCCTTGAAAGCCATAAATTTCGAGGCGGTGCTTCGCCATGGATTTTCTCAGAGCCTTGGGAAAAAAAAAAAAGGGGAAGATGTGCCGGCAATGAGGTGTCTGCTGGGGAGATCAGCTGGGAAGCAGATCCATCTGCTCTTTGGAGGACAAAGAAAATGGTTTTCCCTCTCCAAAGCCAGGCTATTGGGAAATATACATCTGACTGGGTTTTTTTTTTAAATATTTTGCCTTTTTAATCTGCAACTGTGTATAAAAAAAAAATAAAAATAATAATAAAAAATAATTGCAGCTGGGTGAGCAGCATCAAATTAATCCCTGTGTGGTGTCACACACGGGTTAAACAATGCTTGGAAAAACCTGCAGCTCTCTCCTTTGGCTCCAGCCCCGATTCCCTGCAGCAGAGAGGCAGGCAAGGGCAGGATCCAGGGCAGGATCCAGGCGGGATCCTGGCCGGAGCCAGGCTGTGCTGATGGCAGATGTAATTATTCCTCGAGCCCGAGGGTGCCAGGCTGCGAGCGCTGCCCTTCCCCGAGCATCTGGGCCAGGCTCCTGCTGCCATCTGTGCCCTGCCTGCCTCTGCTGCGTCCCCAAAGGGCTGGGACAGCAGGAATGATGGCAGGAGCTGCTGGGAATGCTTGGAGCAGGGCTGGGAATGCTCGGAGCAGGGCTGCGTTCCCATTGCCGGCGGCGGAGAAAGAATCCGTTGCCGTCATTGTGGAAGAGTTTATTTTGGTTTTTGGATGTTTTCAGAAATTACAGCAATATATTCATAAATACCTAATTACTACATTCAACAAATAATATATTACATTACAATTAATTCCAACAAGTACATTTTGAACATGTTTAGGGTTGGTTTTTCTCCTTTTTTGGGTTTTTTTTTTTGCTTTCTTTCACAGCATCTAACCTGCCCCCAGCAGGCTCTGCCTTACTCTCCCTCCTCCCAGCCATCCCAGGCTCTGGCACAGCTGCTCCAGCAATTCTGCACGGGGTGTGTACGGACACGACCGCTCACCATGGCCCCAAGGGGAGGAGAAATGCTGAGAAATTGGTCCAAAAAACCTGATTCTGGGCTGGTGAGGACAGAAAGTCAGGACAGGAGGTGCTACAAAGCGAGGCTACATCCCAGCCAGGCTCCTCATCGCGGTGAGGGATAAACTGCCATTGATTTTCCATCCCTGGCTTCTTCCCCCCTCCACCACAGCACACAGGAAGGGAAAAGAGTGCAGCAACGAGTATTTTGCTGTGTTAAAATTCCCTGTGAAGCCCGGAGTTGGCAGCGGCGAGGCCAGAGGCTGGCGAGGCAATTGGGGATTTAAAAAAGATTAAACTAATTTCTGTCACAAGGGCATTTTGCTTTTTAATCTTGCACAGCTTTTTATATTTGGTGAAGCCAATGGGAGAGCGGGGAGCAGAGGGGGGTTGGGGAGGGTTAATGCTTTCTTTGCAAGTGCAACAAGGGAATTTAAAGCAGGAAGCAGAGGTCACCTTTTCCTGGAGATGTGAGCTGGTCTCGTGGCGAATTAAAAACAATTTATAATAAATAATTTAAAAATAATAATAAAAAAAAGGCTTCCCTGGGGGAGTTGGGACACACGATGGGTTAGAAAAGAGGCTAAAAATGGCACCAAGCCTGACCCTGTCACCCCATCCTGGTGGCACCAGGATATCCCTGCCCGCCAGCGGGCACAGCTCAGACCTGGAATGTCCCCATGGTGCCACCAACAGACTCACAGAGACCCTCTTTCCCCCTGCCCAGACTGCCTTAGCACTGCTCTGATTGTCTTGGTATTTTGGGAAGAGGGACAAGGACACCCCAGTGCTACCCACCCCCAAACCCTCCAGCCCTCTCGGCGCAATTCCTTTGGGTTTTGAATTTGGCAGGTGGAGACTGTTCAAGGCTGAGACACCACCTGACACTGTAACACCCACAACAACCTGACTGGAGCAGAAAACGCCCCAGAAAGCAAAGAAAAAGGGTAAAAATAATAATAATAAAAAAAAGACCAACAAAACACAGGAGGGTGGAAGGGCTCGGCTTCCCAAGGGACTGGTGGTGGGACAGCACTGGAAAAGGGGATTTATTTTTCCTGGGTTTAAATTCTTTTTAAAACACTTCAATATCTTTTCTGGCCTGACCAGCAGCAGTACAAACACTAAAAGCAAGTTAATCCTTTTGCCAAAAAAAAAAAAACCAAAACCAGAAAGAAAATAAAAACAGGGAGGGAGAAGGGGAAACAAAAAAAGGAAAAAAAAAAGCAGAAACATATTAAAAAAAAAGGCAAGCTTTTTATAACAATAATTAAAGCAATAAAAACATACAAAACTTTGTTGTTTTTTAATATATATACACAGTACAAGGCTGAAGCACCTTTTTTTTTCTTTTTTTGACTGTTCAATCCCAAAGCCAGGGTGACAAGGTGACCCCACGCGTGTCCCTGCCCCTTCCCCGCCAACCAGGAACAAAAAGGGACCTTCAACCAGTTTATTGACTTTATTTTTTGATAGCGAAGTGCATTTCCAGTGGAAACCCCGGGATGGGGGTGCCGTGCCGGGAGCAGGGGGCTCGGCAGCACCCGGCCCCGCGG